ATAAAATATAGTCTAAAAATAAAGTTAGAATTAGCCAAAATGATCAAAAGGAAAGTTGTAGTATACATCGAGACCTACACCGATATATAAGAGTTGTTGAAAATGGAGCCCGTATGCAAGAGTTACAAATTTTTAAAGTTTGATTTTTACCCTCGCGTCCACCTGCACATAGTGCGCGATGCGCACCTAACGACAAGATTCGTCAAGATACGAATGACGTGGAACGGGGAGATGAGGACATGTGGTAGCTCCATGTGGCTCACGCGCACTTGCGTGACATGCACTCCAAAATTGACGATAAATAAAAGGTTCCGACATTTCAATTCCTCACACCTCAAAACACACCTCACTCTCTCTCGATTGTCTTGCCACTGATCCTGAGCTCCTCTCGAGTTCTGGACCCCTGAATTCTACCTTACATTAGCAGTTTCACATATGAAAGGCGAGTTCACATCTCCACTTTACAATTTTTAAATATTCTACGGGAGGAATACATGTTACATTACAACTATTTTCATAATTATTACTAACTGTATAACATTAGTGATATAATTATGCTTAGGACATTAGGATAATATTATGTCTGGTAGATACCCTGCCCAACGTTAATGTATAATATTATACCTAGATGTTATGCCGACTTAAACACTCAGAAACCATGCATACCCATTAGTTATGCTGGTAAAACCTTCAGGGGAACATTTTACCTAGTTGTTACACTGGCTAGTTTTCTAGGAAATGCTCGTACCTAGACGTTACTATAGACAACCTTTGGATAAAGCTTAGTACCTAGTGGTTACTCTGCCCAAATACCCGACTATGCGAAATACTCTAACTTCGTTATATATACGCAAAAGATTATATATATATATATATATATATATATATATATATATATATATATATATATATATATATATATAATAAGTATCTCATATAAACTCAACAAGGAACGACAACACTATACCTAGCTGTTACGCTAGCCAACATATAGTCACCCTTTCGATAACTTTGTACCTAGTGGTTACACTACCCAAATACTCGGCTAAACTGAATGCTATAACTTATATATATATATATATATATATATATATATATATATATATGTATAATAAGTAACTCGTTTAAAGACAACAAGGAACAACAACGTGATCGACCATGGGAGGTTCCCACAAACAAGTGTTAGACGAGACACGATTCATCACCTAGCTAAATAACTTTTAACTATCCTCGTCCTATAATCGTTAAATATTAAGTGAGCAGAAAATATATGTATGGATCTATACGAGATTGACACTCCCACTTGTGGTTGATAGCTACAACCCGACCACAAGTCGAAGCATGCATAACTTTCTAAACTATTTTCGACATCCGATGAAGCATCGTGGTTTTCGGGGATTATTCTACACTAGTCAGATTTCGATTATAGGAACTCATCGTAACATTGTTAAACTAATCTATCTAATAGCTACTACTAGGAAATAAACCTAAGAAAGTAGAGATATAACATAAACTCAAATATGCGAGTTAGATAACACCACTGACATAAAAAACCCTATGAAAAGTTTTAAAGTAAACAAACCTGTGAACTCACCAACATTATGTTGACCTTTTAAACCACATATATTTTTGGGAGAATGAGTCCGGAAGGGGATGGGCGAGATACCGGAGATGCAACTAAAAGTTTATGTGTTTTGTTATTGTACTCTATTTTCGTAACGTACTTGTACCTTGAACACATGTGTAACCTGTATTACTTAATGAATAAAAAGTAATGTTTGCTTAATATTTGTTTTGTTCAATGTATATATATATATATATATATATATATATATATATATATATATATATATATATATATATATATATATATATATGATCCAACATCGTAACGTCGCACAACCCAACATTTCCATCGTCGGGTGGGGGTGTGGCAGCATGACACACTCACTCTATTTATAGTCATGCATTGATGTGCCGATTAATCACACACACTTCATCAACAAACCATAAACACAAGTTGCCACACCGCCTTTCCTTTTGTAATCTCATATTAATGTGTTGGTTAATCACATACACTCAGTTAATAGACCTATAATGACTTTAATGTGCGTTTTCATGGATTAGAATACATTTCACATTTTGCTAATATTTAAATGAGATTTTTTGTTTGGATACTTTTATGTTAATATTTTTAACTCGACATCAAGTTATTGAACCTTTTTGGCTAACTCCATTGGTCCACACAAATAGCGGTGGATGAAAAAGACACCCATTCAATGTTTATTTTATAAGTGGTTTTCTTATACCATCTTAGAGTGCTTAGAATTGATGAGACCTAGTCTTGATCCAAGTATTTAACCATACGAGGACACATATAATTTAGTTATACTATATATAAACTATTATAAAGTACATGGTGTGTTCTAACCATTTTAAAACTTCATATTGTTTAATCATATTAATTCTAATTAATCATACGAGAACATATAACAATATTAAAGCACTATTAAGATTCCAATCATCATGTAAGGACCAATTTTAACAATTAATATTAAACAAACATATATATATATATATATATATATATATATATATATATATATATATATATTCAAAATTTCAAAATTTATTTATATTCATAAATCAAATTTGAATTAACTAATTAATCCTAATTAACCATGTTTAAGTAATTACCCAATGAAAACGTCAAATGCGGGTTTGTTAAACATGACGACCAATATGTCGCGAGTTTTTTTCAAGACACGAGATATTTTGTTTTTTCCGATCGGATCTAAAACAATTGAGCTTTTGTTAACTTTTTTATATTAAATGCTAATATAACACTTCTAAAAACTTAATATATTTGATATAATTGTATAATTATACGATTTATCCTTTTTAATGTATATAAAATTGAGACACCATGAAAAACATTATGACTTGCTATGACTTAGGTTTGACCTTGCCGTCAAACAATGCCTCACGCCATTTAAAACTTTGATTTATAGGCATAAAGATAAGAGACAATTTAATTTTCCTTTTTCTTAATAATAAAACCCTAACAATTTTTTCCTCTCTAATATTTTTGTTAGTTTACATTCATGCATAAGTATCGTTGCCAACTAAATATGCCTTTACGCACCATAACGTACGGCCTAACTAACGCACATACAATCACCACTCTTTTACAAATAAATATGTGATGACCGATGCCAAGAACAAAATGAAACTTGAAAGCCACTACGATCTCCATTGTCATCTTGTAGGTGTCATTGTCAATGAACTGCCTATAAAATGACAACACTTTGATGTTTATCTACTTGATATGTTTATGAGCAAAAGACTATTTTCTCCTCGCCCGACACTTGTCTTTTATCCACTTCCTTAATCCTTAAGATGCCCTCTAGTATGAGTGTATGACATATTTATGTTGAAATATAGATGAGAAAGAAGTAAGTTTTTTCTAATCTGCCCCTTTAAGCACTTAATATTACATACATGTCCCTCGAGATTTATGTTTAAATAGTATAGGTGGCTTTAGGGGTGGACCAGGACCTACCTTGCCGCCATCAAATTTTGAGTTGGATGTTATTTATAGTGTATAAAAAATATACTATCTTTTTAATTTATTTTTTCGTAAAAACATATTTGGTTTAGTTATCATTTACTTAAATTTAAAGTTGGTGCAAGAAAATTTAAAATTCGAAGCAAGGTTTGCAAAATCAAAATTCTATGTAAAATCGTTTTCGAGTTCGCAAAATCGTGATCGTAAAATCGAATCGGAATCGTAAGATTCTACAAAAAAAATGCAATTTTAAGTTTAAAATATGCAATATATATATATATATATATATATATATATATATTCATCCATAAAAAACAATCACATGTACTCATAAAAGACCGATTACAATCTGATTTTCAAAGGCTAATACAAATTTTAGAACATGATACAAATTATGATACAAATACAATTTGGTTCCAAAGGATCTTGGTTGATTGGTTCACAATCACAACTATAAAAAACATATTTGAAGTTGACTGATAGAATTGGTATTGGTATGGTTCAATCGTTCAATCGTTTAAGGCTTCAAGCCCTAAACTATTCTAATTTCATGTATGTTTCAACTTTTAAGCCCTAAACAACTAAACTAATATACATATATGAAATCTGAATATAAATATTCTTACTTTCTAACTTTCCATCATATACATTCTACATAATATATTCAGTCCAAAACACTAAAATATCGGAGTAACTTCCCTTTTGAAGTTGTCAACAAAGTAGAGTATAAACTGAGAGAGTAAAGATCATAAGGGGTGAGAAGGAGATATCTGGTTCAAATAATCGCAATCTTAAAGCTTACAACCTTACACTTCGTCGCGTTTGATGAAGGCTTCAGGGCTTCAAGGCAGTGTTCGTGAGTTTAGAGTTCAGAGGAGGAAAAAATGGGGCTAGGGTTCGTTTCGCCATCGTGAGACCGAAAGGAGTTTTTTTTTTCTTCGTTAAATGATTGAGCCTTACACCTATTAGTCTTTTAATTTAGGGTCAAATAGTCAAATAAAGTCAAACAAAGGGTTAACTCTAATAGAATTGAATCGTTTATGGTTTTACGACTTTACAATCCGATTTTACAATTTCACTCCAATTCTACCTAAAAACGAGTTTACTAAGATCGAAATTGAAATACATATATATAATCGTAGATACGATTCTACGATCGGAAATGTGTTTTTAATAACCTTGATTCAAAGTATATAATTTATTTTTTTATTTTAATAAAATGATTATCGAAATATCAGATTTGATGTTGCAGAAATCACTATTAAACATTAATTTAACAATTAACACCTTTTTGCAAAACTACGAAGAAGTTCTCTTATACCCGCCAAAAGTAAACATACTATAAACTATAGGGACTATAAATGTAACTTTTGATTCCAACATCAACCTCCACTTCTCGCCAAATAATTCCACGAAGATTCTTTCTCCGCCTGTAATTTTCAAAAGCCCCATCATTCACTTTCTCTCTCCATCGCTGGCATAATTTCTTAGGGTTCTACAAGGGTTTCTCTCTAAATTCTTCATCAATTCAATCACTATGTGAATTGAAATTATCTTCTGATTCCGAGTATATAGATACCATTTGTATATCTACACGATTGTAATTATATGGCTACTTATCAGCCGATTAGAGGAAGTGGATCAAGTTTACAGTTCTTGAATCATCCGTTTGGGGACACTACATATACAAAGGTGTTCGTTGGAGGGCTTGCATGGGAGACACAGAGCGAGACGCTACATCGTTATTTTGAACAATTTGGGGAAATTTTGGAGGCTGTTGTTATAACTGATAAGCATAGCGGAAGATCAAAAGGCTATGGATTTGTGAGTATTTATATGTATTCTATTTGAATTTTTTCACTCTGGTATCCAATAACGATGATTGCAGATGCCCGTTTCTTTGTTTACTGCATTTCACCTTTATGTTCACTGCAATATTAAGCATCAATTCAGAAATTAAAGATACCTTGAAACTTTTATCACTGAAAAAGACATGTTTAGGATCCAAAATTGATTTAGATTTAATTCGCAGAAAGAGATGGTACCATGTTGAATTTTACTCGAAGTACTATAATAAACTCATAAATCTCCAGAATACACGAAAAATCATTCTAATTTTAGCTTACAGAATCCTGATTCGTCCAGAAAAGTCATAATTCATATCCAATTGGGGTATGAAGGTAGAATCATATCTGTTATCTTTTTCTTTTAGGTATTCAAAATCATCACAACTTCTATTGCACTTTTAATATCACCTAAAGTACAATCTTATCACATTTCAAATACTTGTCCATTTACTAGTTACTAACTTACTATTGTTGCTGTTATTCTTCTCATTAAACTCAGGTAACATTTCGTGATGCTGAAGCTGCAACTAGGGCTTGTGTTGATCCCAGTCCAATCATTGATGGTAGAAGGGCAAACTGTAATTTAGCATCACTTGGTCGCCCTCAACCACCTTTACCTTTTGGTAAAAATCTTTTTACCCTTTTTATCCAATTCATTTTAATTTTCACATATTGAAGTTGTTTTTTCACTTTTAGGGCGTATGAGACCAATAACACCCTTCTTTAATAGTCTCCAAGGAGGCCCATTTGTTGGAGGCCCAAATTATCGCCAACCTGTTCCTTACAGTTATCAACAATTCCCATATTCCTTATACGGGTTAGTTACTATTCAATCTTTATACTTCAAAATTAAATTCATTATTTAGTGGAAATTTGTTTTTGATAGGTATCCTCCATCACCTTATGCTCCTGAATACCTCTTCCATCAGGTGAATAAACTCAAAGTTTCTTTCTTTCTTTTTAAATCTTTATATGTCATATGTAATGTGTATATATATATATATATATTTTTTTCAGGTTCAGTATAATCCTTACACAGGCCAAATGCAGCCTAATCCTCAAATGTTTGGCCCAAGCCCAAGCCCAAGCCCAAGCCCAATAAACTCAAATGTTTTTCCATTTGGTCAAATGGGCCCACTGCCACCTGGAAGCCCAGGGATTATGACACCTGGCCCACATGTTGTATCATATTCTAGACCAAGTGTGAGTGGAACAACCACAGAAACTGTTCCAATGTCTCCAGCACCTTATGTTACAGGTACTTTTTTTTTTTTTTTTTTTTTTTTAATTTTCTTTTTTAGCTATGTAATTAATCTCTGTAAATTAGTTTTGATATATTTTGATAAATATATTTTTTAATTTTTGTTGTCAGGTATTGGTCCACCATTTTTGGGACAGATGAGGAGTGCCCAAGCTCATCCTTCTCAGTTCACTCAGAAGTAAAATTGGTTTAAAATTGGAGAACAGAGGATCAGTTTCTGAGGTGAATACATCTTATCATGTGCCTTCATTCTCCATCCTCTAACTAACTGCTGGATGACATCACTTGCTACTTGAGTGATGTCACCAGTCATTTCTGTCAAAAGGTAATAAATCCTTATATGTAATTACCAATTAGTTTTTTTTTTTTTTTTTTTTTTTTATAAAGGTTGTGTTTTTACCTGTGTTTGTTTGATGTTGTTTTCAGGTGATCAGAAGTCATGGACATGAAGAGTCAAAATGGGGTTGATTTTTTTAAAAAAAAGTCAATCTCTGATTCCAGAGAATCGGAAAAACAAACCATGGTTTAATTGGTCTGTATAAATGGTAACGGAATTGTGAATACACAAGATTGTTGGAATATGGGATTCCAGCAGTCGATGCATGAGCATGAGGGAATCAATGTATGATTCCTTGATGTTGATGCCCATGAATTATGGGAAACCTGTGGATATTATGTTTTATGGCTTTCTGGAAATTATGCTCCGGAATAATGCCCCCTTAATTTTATCGGCAACCTCGTTCCCAGGGTGTCATGGATAAAGGGTAAATGACGATTTTGCCCTTGCTGGAATCCAAAGGTATGGATTTGATAATCTTGGGAATGGATTGTTAAAAAAGAGTATTTAAAAGTCACCATGTTGGTATTCCGGTTTGGTTTTTAAGATCTTTTTAAATTAATATTGTTGGGATCATATGATATTTTAATTTATTATAGAGATATTAAATGAACTCATAAATTATTTTTTTATTAACATAAAAAGGTTTTGGTAATTGATTGAATCAAAAAACTAGTTGTGAGATCCGTCTACTACATGAGTTTATTAAAAAAAATGTGACTGTTTAAACATTTAGTAAATTTGAATTTATAAGAAAAATAAAAAAAAATATTGAATTGTTGAAATTGAAGTGTTTTTTATTAATAATTTAAACAAATAATTTAATAAATAAACAAATGAAGTAATTGGCTTCAATTAAGAAATTTTTGAAATCATAAGGTAAGTTGTATTAATAAAATTGATATTCATTTATTATTACATCTATTACTATTATTACATTTAAATAATAAAATGAAAAAAAACATAAAATGTCGTGAAAAAATTTAATTTAAAATAATCATAAATTGATATGTAGCAAAATGAATGAGAAAATATCATGTGACAAAAAAAATTATTTATTAGAGTAGATATATGTCATATTAATTGAATGAATCTAAAGCATAGATTCATTGTATATATTATTAATGAAGCTGATAAATAACGTCCATTCATTGTTTCTTAGTAACGAAAAACATTCAATGTATAAACAAAATAGAAAATCTTTTGAGAACACATCTTACAATGACTCGTTATCTAAAAGATATCATGAAATCAACAATGACGGAAGTTAGAGATTAACATGTGTCATATTTAGATAAGATTAATGATATTTTAATATACTTGTTATTATTTCAAATATGTAAGAATATATATATGTAGAGGTAGGAATATATGTAGGAAGAAAAGTAGGAGGCTACTTAATTTTTGTATTATCAAACATTAAAATTATGTTTCATTAAATTGTTTGTTATGTTTAAGTAAATTTTATATAATTATTATTTATGATATTAATGAGATCCTATATTTACATATAGTTATTGTCTTAAAAAATGTATTAATTTAAAGAGGTTAACTTGACGAATCCAAGGAAACAGCTTTAAATATGGTGTGAAATTAAATGTTAAAAATTGTCGATATTTATAAAGTGGCAAATAGTTAATTTTTTTTTTATATATTTTAAACATTCAGATCATTCATATACATACATTTTTTTCTAGAAAGTTATTTATTTAAATTCTAGGTGTTTAAGAATAATCGAAAGTGAAGAGAGAGAGAAAGGTGACCCTTTCTTGCATAATACTTCCTTTCGCTTTCAATCTCACAACGGTGTGGTTTTCACCACCACATTGAAATGACCACCTTACTTCACCATACCGTGCGGTGTAGTACTCCTTGTGGCCTTAAAAATTAGTCATCACTAACTTATCAATAAATAGTTTTTATTTTTATAAATATTTTTAACAAATATAATAATAAATATTCATTAAAGTATTAATACTAATATTCATTAATACTTTAATGCCATTGCAATACTCTTGGCAAAAGTTAGAAGTCCTTGTCTACACATTACTCTAGCGATAATACATTGAAAAGCCAAATAACCAAAACTATGGCTGCTAAGACCATCTTTAATTCATTTTTGTTTTTTCTTAAAAAATAAGGTAAGTAATGTTTCATCACGTTATGCTATTTTTTACTTAATTTTTTACCCCAAAAAATATATTCTTAATATATTCTATTTCGTAAGTTATATATATTGTCAAATACATCTCTTCTACTAATTAACTTTTAACACATATATAATATATCTTTTTTTTTTCATTACAATAATATCAAATAAACAAGATTATATTTATAACACACTTATAAATAAATATTATACATGCATTTATATAGTTATTACACATACAATTTTTTAAATAAATATTATACATGCATTTATAGAAATATTAAACATACACACCGTTAAATAAATACTATACATACATTTATAACATATTTATTCGTTGGAATAAATTTCCTATAAATGATCAACTAATGTATTTCATAAACTAAAGTGAGCTTCTTAATCTTTAATATGCTTATAGAAAAAACATTATAAATGGTCCGTGTGGTTTCCCCAAATCTGAAGTTTTAATCCCCGTTGTTTAAAAACATCATGGATGGTCCCTGTGCTTTCAAAACTTTTGACGATTGGTCCTTATTGCTAACTTCGTTAAGTTTTGTCTGTTAACTGAAGGACATTTTCGTCATTTCACTACCACAGGGACCATTTATGATGTTTTCACTTATTTAAAAAAATGAAATAATATGAAAAAGGGGTCTCTCTCTCTCTCTCTCTCTCTCTCTCTGGGTTTTATTCAAGCAAGTTCATCACGATTCAACTTGTCCAAATCCTAATCTGGTAATTCATAGGATTCGTTATCTTTAAGTCCACATATCTGGAAATCATCAAGATCACCAAATACGTCAAGTGGTGAAGCAAAACTGTCAAAGAAAATGGAATCCAACTCTAATTTCATATCCAACTCTAATTTCATATCTCACTCTCTCAAAAACACATACACAAACTTAACATCTCTCTGTCTACCATGTTCATCTTCATCTGATCATCATCTTCGTTATGGTGAAGATGTGAAACAAGAAACAACCAGCTTGGGGCGTGAACAAATTGATGTCATTGGGGCATTTCCACAAATAGTTGGTGTGCTACTTAAGAAGATCACCATGAAATCTTTGTTTTTACTTCTAATTGAAATCCAAATTGGAGCTGAACTCAATATACACAAATGTATAATCAAAGAAAATGAAAATATACACATAAAGCTAATAATCTAAAAACAGATGACACCACATAACAACTAAGCTTAGGTGCAGGATGAAATATAAGAACCTGGAATTGAAACCGATTTTTGGTTAGGGTTCTTGATAGGGCACAATCCACTTGTTCTTAAAAGAATGAAAAAGAGGTACTTGCAAGTAAAACAGGTGCCAGTGTAATCGAAGTTCTTGATTTCTCGTGTATCACTAAACCGCCACCGTCACTGTTTTCCACGCCTTCGGATTGCCGTCGATGGTTTCCGGCGATTGAGCAGACTTTCGACTGTGGGTGGTTTAATGCGGAAGGACGAAGATCAGCATCTAGGGTGGTTGTGTTGGCGGAAATAGGTGGTAGTCATCGGTATGGTGGTGAGGTTAGGGCAGCGGAACCAATTAAAGAATGGATCAACATCACTATTTGATGTGTGGTGAGTATTTAAAATTTTTGAAATCGGAGGATTACTGAACCAAAATTGTTTCCAGGTGATCTCTTGGCTGCATCATCCTTTTATGTGGATGTGAATGAGGATTGAACGCCTCCATATGCAGCAGTGGGTATGGTTATTCATAACAAAACCCAGAGAGAGAGAGAGAGGTGGGACTCCTTTTGCATATTATTTCATTTTTTTTAAGTTAAGTGAAAACATCATAAATGGTCTCTGTGGTAATGAAATGACGAAAATACCCTTCAGTTAACGGACAAAACTTAACGGAGTTAGCAATAATGACCGATCGTCAAAAGTTTTGAAAGCACAGGGACCATCTATGATGTTTTTAAACCACTAGGACTAAACTTCAGATCTGGGGAAACCACATGGACCATTTATGATGTTTTTTCATGCTGAGCAAGAAATTGTTGGAGTTGGTTGTCTTCATCTATCGTTATCTCAACCTCTACCGGTGACACTTTTCTTGCAACTTCAATTGGTGCATTAAGATCACGTTCATCCTCGATTATCATATTATGTAAAATAATGCATGTAGTCATTATGTCATGTAGTGCTTTCTTTTGCCAAAAACGAGTTGATCCCTGAACAAATCGCAAAACGTGAATGAAGAACTCCAAATGCACGTTCAACATCTTTTCGACATGCTTCTTGTTGTGTAGCAAAAATTTCTTTTTTGGACATGTTAGTTTATTAATAGTTTGTACTAGAGTGGGCCACTTTGGATATATACTATCAACGAAGTAATATCCTATGTTGTATTTTGTCCCTTGAATAACATAATGAGGAGGGGGTGCAATACCTTGTGCCGATTGGAAAAAAAGATGGGAAGACTCCAATAAATTTATATCATTGTTGGTGCATGGCATGCCGAAATAAGCATTCCATATCCAAAGATCGTAATCTGCAACAACTTCGAGAATAATAGTTGGCAACCCACTATGACCAGTATACTGTCCAACCCACCCGGTAGGACATTTTTTCCACTTCCAATGCATACAGTATAAACTTCCTAACATTCCTAGAAAACCTCTTTTTTCATGTTGGTTCACATATCTTAACATATTCGCCTGTGGCATCTGCTTGGTGACCATATACAAGTATGCGAAACACAACTGTTAATTTCTGGAGAGATGACAATCCAAACCTTCCGTATGAATCCATACGTTCCATAAAGTAGTTATCGTGATACTTCACTTCGTTATTAATGCGAAGGAACAAAGAGCGAGACATTCGATATCTTCGACGAAACAATACATCATTATATAATGGAGTCTCTGAAAAGTAACCATGAAAAAAATCTAGAATCTGCACTTACTCAATCACGACCAATGAAAGAACGTCCGAGCATCGAATCACCATGGAAGATAAGTTTTTGTATCTAGTACATATTGAAATTGCTTAAGATCCCATCATAGGTGTTTATGAATCATCTGATCAGTTTTGGTCTCGTATCGAAGAGGCTTACAACAGTAGAAAAGTTGAACTCAGGAGTGAACGTTCAAGGAAGTCTCTTCAGGTCCGGGTTCTAAGAATTGAAAAGGCAACAAGAAAATTGCATTCTTGCATAAAACAGTACGAGGAGAGGTGTCCAAGTGGTGCTTCATCTAACGATATTGTAAGTATAAATATGTAACTTTGAATTGCTTATTTTTATTTGAGAAATAAACGTTTTTTTATTATGATACACATTTCGATAAAACCACATGGATATGTATATTCGGGGTCTAAAGACAACACCCCTGAATCTACAAAAGCATCTCTTGGATTGTCTTCATTTTCTGTAAATATAGTTGAAGATGAAAAGATAACAGGTGGTTCTCCCTCAGAACGACCTTCGGGGGTGAAAAAAAATCAAAAATAAAAAGAAAAAAGGATGACCACATAGCATCAGCTGACAGCTGACAGTGCTATTGATGAAGGGAATAAACAAATTTTAGAACAATTAAAAAAATCATTTGCTCAGAGACAACATTTTTTGGATAATCAAAGAAAAATTATGCTTTGAAACAAGTTAGAGATGAAAAAAAATGTTGTTTCACGATGTGAACTCAATAGTGGATCCAACCGTACAAGCATTTGTTTTGGCTGAACAAGCACAAATTTTAGCTAAAAATGATGAATAACAGTATCAACAAATTCCTCCTACATCTTCATCGTATGGACAATATTTTAATAACCTTGGGGGATCTGGATTTGGTTTACCTGATTACTAGGCTAAAATTATTGTCATTTTCCTTTTTAATTAGATTATTATTGTACTATATATGTTAACGCATGTTTAATATCGTATGTTATTGTGTTTGTAAAATATATTTTAATTATAAGCTTTTGTAAAATACGTTATAGTGTTTTAAAATTTCAAAATATATTTAAAATTTTATATGAATTTGATACATAAAAAATAAAAGTTTATATTTATAATTAGTTAATATAATTTAATATAGAACAAAATATTAAATATTACATTTAAGTTATAACTAATAAATAAAAATAAACTAGATATGTATAAATATATAAAAAAATGGGACTAACACTTCATCCATATTTTTTGAGGAATAAATAGTATTACTCCATATTTGGTGTAATGCTATGATTTTTTTAAACAACAAACTAATCTACTCCTAACTATCACCTATGTTTTAAGTGAGACTTGAACCCATGACCTCTCAAATGAAAGGATCACTCCTTACCGTTAGACCAAAGGTCTTTTGATGTAATACTATTCATATATCCCAAAATAGGGGAATGAATGAGGTAGGGTTGGAGAAGAATGAGAGAAAATATAGCATATGGGGTGGATTGGAGATGCTCTATTAAATTATAGAGTAAATCAACATTTGGTCTTTTGTATAGGTGCCAAAAACGATGTCCGGTTTCTCTTTTTAAATATTAACTTGGATTGTAACCCGTTTTTTTAAAACTTGCACACTTCATCACTCGTTAGTTTAAATTTGCACGTTTTATCATTTGTCAGATATAAAATGACTATATTTCCCTCACTATTTTGTTTTATTTTAATTTAACTATAATTTATTATTTATTTAGAAAAAATATCCCCACCCATCCAACCACCCTAAAATTCTAACCTAATATATCTTTGTCTCTCTTTTTCTCTAAGATCAGCCCCATAAAGCATCGTCATCACCACTACTACCAAACAAACCGACAGACAACCGATCGTCAGAGAAGGTGACCTCATTGGAGCAGGGAAGCACAAAGCACACACCTTGTGTGTGTGCTAGTACGATATCGAGATAGAGGGAAAAGGAGAGAAAGATCTATATTCTGACAACAACTATATTCAGATATATGATTTAGGGTACTCAAACAACTCCATTCGTCGCCATCCTCTCTTCTCTCTTCTTTGTTCAAATTTGCGTTTTAGGGTACACTAGCAATAACCCTTTTACATCTATATTTCAGATCTACACTTCGTTTGCAAATCTATATTCCGACAACTCTTCTCTCTTCTCCATTGGTGACATGTGGTGGTTGTTGGAGTTGAGAAAGAAGACATTACACAAATCTAGGTTTTGATTCTACATCTCAGTCACCGGATTTTGCATCGCCGGAGAAATTTCATGACGATTTTAGGTTTGGGGATTTCATCTCGAAAATTAGTGTTGATTAAAGGTTTTTAATTAGGATTTGGTGTTGATTATATGTTTCATATTTTTTGAACCGCAATATATTTCATATACTCAAGTTCTAGCAAGTAACTAGAACAGAAAAACAAAAATCATCTTACAAAGGACATTGAAGCCAAGCATTACAATTTACATCAATTTTGGAAGCTCGGTTCTTCAACCACGAAAAAGAATTCAAAACTATTAAGTCAAAAATAGAACTTCTATGTATCAGGTTATCATAAAAAACCACTGAATTTCTTTGTTTTCATATCACCCACACTATGGTCAATATGATTACCTCCAATTTCAGTTTTCGATTGACTGACCATGTAGAATCATCCACCTACGTGAGCCATTCAGATATAGAACTCGACACAGGGAGTACAATGTCACACCAATGAGCCATCAAATTCCATACTTCCATCGCCACTTAACAAAGAAAAAAACAATATTGAGTAGTTTCAATCCCCACCTCACAAACCGGACATACCAAGGATTGTAGCTCAATTCCTTTCTTTGATAAATTGAATATTGTCGGAAGCCTTCAAGCATCATTCAAAAAATTAACTTTTCTCGGAACTATCTTACACCATCTTGTACTATAATCCCCACTAACAAGAGATACCTCATCAATATGTCGCCTTGTAACATCACTATGAAACTACCAAGGGGATCTAGATCCCCATGAGTAAGCATCTGACACATTCAGAATTGCTACATCTTAAAGCACCTCAAGTAAACATTTTAATTGTCCCTCCTCTCTCCCACCTCTAACCTACCTTCTCCAAACCCACCTCCACATACCTTCTTGAAACCAATCACTCACCAAGCAATTTGGTTGTGTTTCAAGATTGAACAATCAATTAAATGTCTGAGCAAAAGTTTGGTTTCCTACCCACACATCCGTCCAGAAACAAATTGAGTTAGCCCTGCCCAAACGTTTTTCCAAGGTAGTAAAAGGAATCATGCCATTCTCATGAAGCTATTGAATAGAGCCAACAAGTTTTTCCCGAACACCATTTGTACAACAGCCAATATTCACATTACCAAAACCCCCCATGTCTCCATGAATGGCCTTGATAAGTCTAACCCAATATGCATTTGTTTCTCCCGAAAACCTATAATGCTATTTTTGGAGTAGAGCATAATTAAAAGCTGACAGACTACCAATTCCGAGTCCACCCTTATCCAGACTAGCGAGAGCAAGATCCCACTTAATCCAAGCCATCTTCCAACCTGCACTGTCAGTAGCCCAAAAAAACGACTTCTCAATTTGTCCAAGATATTCAAAACCCCATTTAGTACCTTAAAAATTGACATAATATGATAGATACCAATACTACT